TCTGTGGGTGCCGCCCAGCCACTCCTCTCCCTCGCATTTTCCTGAAGTCCCGCTCTCTGAGGCTTCAGCTTTCCACTGTCCTCTACCAAGCTGGCCCCTCTGCTCCCCTTGCGGTGTTTTATCCTCTCAAGCCCATGCTCACCCCCACCGAAGTTTAGTGATTGGGGTACCCCAGTGTCACCGAGTGCAGACTGGAGATGCGACAGATAAATCACACCAGTTTCACTGGGCACCGCACCCAGAGGGTCGCTCCGTGCCCGTAACACAGGGACGGGCTCTGGGGAATCTCCATCCTTGGAGATACTGAAATCCTGGGGCTGGATACAGCCCTGAGTCTTCTGAGATATCACTGGAGGTGGCCCTGCTTTGACCAGGCGGAGGGACCTCGCTGGAAGGAGGAACAGGGGAAGAGTCCTCAGGAATTTGGTCCCTGCAAACCAAGGCTGGTCAGAGGGCACAGCTTGTGCCCGGCTACAGACTCAGCCTCGTCGCAGGTCCAGTTACTGCGGTGCTGGCAGGAGCAGGAGGGCTGGCATCCAACAGACAGGCTGTTAAACACGCTTGAGAAAAGCCTGGGAACAAGGGAGTTTCTGATATCACATTCTTAAAAGGAGATTTAAATAAACCTGCTTAAGAAAGCTGCAACTTTCCCTCTGGTTTATGTGAGGGCCTGTGATCATGTTCACATGCTGACAGACTTTTTAAAATCAAAGCTTGTTTGACATAACAGATTAGTGTAGCTGGAAGGTGCTAACACACGATTTTAACTACAATGGATTGCAGTTCCACACACCCCCGGCCCACTGGCCCAGGGTGGGCTACAGCGCACAGCCCAGCCTCTCTGAGATCCCCATCGGGCAGCTTACCAGCATGGCACAAAGCGCAGCTTTTGTGATGCGGTTCATTATTAAGTGATGAAACTGCAATAATTATGCACGTGTTTCAGATTAGCTCAGTTTTATTTTAATCCGTTTTATTTCAAATGAAGCTGGATTTACGCAGAGGGTACTGAGCTACCCAGCACATGGCCACAGCTCGGCCAGTGTAGGGACACCTCCGGTGGCGGACAGACCCTGAAGGGAAGGGGCAGGGACCACGGGGAAAGTCCCAGGTAGAAGCCAGCTCCGCTCTGGTCAGCTCTGCTGAGGGGGCTACAAAAGCCCCCACTAACCTCTCCCCAGGTAACAGGGCTGAGCAGGACACAGTGACAAATACAGCCCTTCCAGCACCGAAAGGCACCTCCGAAAGGAGGGCTGGAGACTACGCAGTGCTCCGGAGGTACACTGTGCTGGAAGAGCTCATAACAGAGCTCACAGGAAAGCCCCATCCAACAACCCTTCCGCTTCGCAGGAAGCGGAGGGAGAAGTGGAAGCAGCAGCTCCCCGCGCACACCCTCCTTCCCCAAGCAGCAGCACAAGCTGCAGAGTGAGCCGGAGGATCCACCAAACCACCCGGCTGTGCCGGGCCCGGGCAGAGCAGCATGCTGGTAGCAGGGCTGTGGTCTGTCCATCCTCCGAGCTACGTTTGGTGGCAGGAGAGGAGCAGGAGCGCCAAGCCAGGCTCCCAACAGCAAGTAAAACAAATCAGCTCCATAGCACAGAGGAAGCATGTGTGCAGGGAAGCAGAGAGGGTCAACCAAGCATGAAGCCATAAGCAAGGGACAGATTTTTAGCATAGCTGCTGCCATCTCTGCCTTGGGACACCATCACTGGTATGCAGCTGCATTGAGCTTTGGTAGAGTTAAGAAGGGAATAAGGAATGAAAGAGTAAGGGAAACCTGTCCCAACACAAGCTTATTCCTTCCTCCCGCCTCCTTGCTGACCCCAGGACATCCCCCAAACCCAGAACTTCAGTTCATTTCCACCAGAACTCACACAACCGCAGACCTTTATCCCTACTGCTGCTTCCTTACCCGTGCTGTTGCCTTAAACCATTAGTAGGAAAGTTAAGAATCTATTGAGCTCACCTAATGCACACAGTGTGTGCGGCACCCATCATCTGATCAAGACATCTAGAAGTCTGGAATTGCAATCAGAGGCTTTCAGTAGCCACAGTCAGTGCTCAGATGGAAACCTACCTGAACCGGCTCCTCCAGGACCCCGCTGCAGATGGGGCATATAAGGTCTTCATCAACATCCCCCTGAAAACGTGCTACATCATACCCCATTGCTCATCACCGATGCCAGAACCCTGTGGCGGGAAAAAGAAGAGTGATTAGGAGCAGTCGAGCATCCCATGACGTCTGGACAGAGCAGGTCCCGGCCCTCACAATGTCCTAGTTCCCTCCTCCCAACGCAGCCCGTTGGGGTAGCCCCGGGCACGGCTGGAGCTCACAGCCAAGCGCCGTACAGAGGAGTGTGCAGGGGGAAGCGGTCTCGGCCCCCTTTGTGTGTGCTGAACTGCTCCTCCGTTTTGACGCGCTGCTAGCGTTGCTTCTCTCCCACACGTTATTACTAATCCTGCTGCAATTTTTCTACTTGCTGGTTGTTGAGGTTGTTTTTGCACAGTTCTACTTGGTTTATAGAGGACAGCACAGGGACACCTGTAACGAGTGAGCCCAGTCCTGTGGGTTGAGCAGTGGGATCCATGCCAGGGACTGTTCCTGGGTGCAGCCAGCCCCCCGCCAGCCTCGCCGCATCGGCTGTGGAGGAACCAGCTCCTTCCCTGGGAACAGCAGCCCCGCTGGCTCCTGGCACCCCAACTGCCTGCTGCAGGTATTGTCCTCTGCTGCCATCTCCAGCAGCTTTCCTATTCGGCCGAGCAGACACAGAGTGAAAATGCCCAACACCATCTGCAGCAGAGCGTGACCTCAGCTGGGTGCTCCTGCGCCTGGACAAGGAGTCCCCAGGACTCGCCAGAGCTGCCGGGACTCCTGCTCCCAGCACGGAGGGTGTGGAGCCCCGAGAGCAGCACCTGAGGCACAAAGTCCCCGTCCCTCCCCGCCGAGGATGGCATTCCCAGGTAACGCTGTTCACCAGCTTCTTACACTATCTGCCAGAGGCCGACCTTGACCAGCACACGGCAGTTACCGGTTCCTCTGCAGCTTGTCCCTCAAGAGCCAGCTCCTCCTCTCCCATTCTCACCAACATCAAAGTCGGTGACAAACCTCCACAGCCGTACAGATTCACACTGCACCTGGCTCCAGATAAAGGAGTCCCTACCCCAAATACAAGCAGAAGCCAAGAGGAGACGGGAGGTGTGCGAGGGCATGTGGACACTGCATGAGGCTCTGAAACCACCATCCATGCGGTGAGGAGACTGGAGCATGGCAGCACTTCCAGCTGTGCAAACACCAGCAGCATCTACCTGCTCTGGAGGGCAGGTAGGGACCAGCCCTGCTGCTGCTCCACAGCCAGATGTGGCCACCCAGCCACAGCCAGCGGTGCCGAGCTCCTGCACCTCGGCCGAGTTGCTTGCACAACACCACATACCTCCCCAGCCAGCTCTTTGGCTCTAGACAGACACAGCAAGCAGAGCTGGTTGTGGAAACCACTGTGTCTGCTCAGCTAGAGCAGCAAGGGAGGAGAGAAGGTGATGGATGGGCAGAAAGGGAGGCTGTAGGTAATGCAGTCGCTTCATGGTTGGCCCTTGGGACCCTCCCCAAGTCTAAAGCAGCAGGGAGGAACTTTAATCAACTCACAGGACACTCTGAAAGTCAGACAATAACTCAGCTCCACGTGCGGATGGATTCTTTGCTTCCACAGAGCAGGCACAGACAAAAGACTCCTCTGACAGAGGCTGGGGTGGGGAAAGTCCCTGTGTCAGTTTGCAATTCAGATAACAAGATTAACGGCTGCAGGCTGGAGGGAGAACCGATCTCTGAGCAACCAGGATCGGTTGCTCTTAAACCTTCCCACGCCTTTGGACAGATGCTGCTCCCCTCCACTGGGAAGGAACCCAAATTCCTTCCCATCCCTTGATGAGCCACTCGCACTGCAAGTCTCAGCACCTCCAACACATTTACATTGGGTTCAAACCAACTGGAAGGACAAAGAGGGATGTGGAGGACCCAGCGCAACAGCTCCTGGCTGCCAGCTGAGCCACAGCACCTATGCAGCCTGCTAGCCCCCCACCATAGAGGTGCTTCACTTTGCAGTTGGGACCATTCTGACCTCCTCTGTTGCTCAGTGCTCGGGCACTGCTTCATGCTCTGGTGTCTTAATGAGTCTCTGAATCCAGATGCAGCTCCACAAACAGCCTGCCCCCTCCTTCTGCTCGGGAGACACAGCACCTGCTCCTGCACAGGCACTCAGGTATCGCCGTGGAACGGCACTGGGCACTGCTTCCTCAGAACCACGCTCCCTAGCAACTCGGCTTTCTTTGTCTTCTGCTTCCAAATTCCAACATCATCCTTCCAACAATCAGCTGGGCAAGACACTAAACGTCTTCACATCCACTCAGAAAAGAGCCAAGCGGAGGGCAAAACACAAGCACTGAAAGCCAGCCTTGCCATCTGCCAAACAGAAGCCACATCAAAACTTCCTCCAGAAAAATTTCAGCACCTGCATGAGTCTGAGCACCTCTGAATTCTTCTTGTTCCTCGACTCAGCTGTTCCCCCTTCTGCCAGAGATCATCTGTGGGGCTCTGCCAGCACACTGAAGCAAGGAGCACCCTGCTGCTATCGCGAAGCAGAAACAGGAGAGCTGCAAACGTCTGCAAATGCTCGAGTGAGATGGAGCTGGCAACCCAATCTCCCTCCTGCTAGATCCAGCAGTGAATTAATGACCTGGCCCCGCAGGATGCTGGATACACTCATTCTTCCCTGGGCTCAGCAACCTGCAGGATGGCCCCAAAGAAGGTATCGTATAGCTAATATGAGCAAGCCCTACTTGCGCAGCGCTTCTCAGCAAGAGCGATGATTCACGGGCTGCAGGGATCCATCATGCGCTGAACCGAAGCACAAAGAGCTTAGAAAATACCCTTCCTGGAAGGGCTTGCAGAGGCGCTCAGACACCAGGGTGAAGTCGAGCCAAATCATCTGCAACACGGGCAAGACACGATACAGGAGAGTGAAGGCTGAGCAGGAACCCAGACAAACCCACTGCTACAGGAAATTGCTTCTGCAGTAAACAGCAACTGCCGCCTATGATTATACTCGATTTAAGTGAATGAGCTTCCCAAATCCTGCCCTCTCCAAGTACGCACAGCTTCTTGACCCCAGGACCATCAGCCTCCCTAGGGCTAGGGCAGGGAGAGGGGATAGTTCACACAGATCAGAGGCCAGTCACAGAACTGGGCTTTAGCCCAAATTACAGAGAAAAGCCAGGATAAGTCACTTTTTCCCCACTTCCCTCCACTTCCCTTGTCATCGTACTCCTGCCTTGTCTTTGTAGATTGTCATCTTCTTGGCCTGGGGACTTCCACTGCCTGCACACTGCTCAACACAGAAGAGATCTACATAGCAACAAGGGCTTGATGGTATCAGAGAGGATCAGTAATTAACAAGTCAAAAGCACTTTGACATTCCTACCCTTACCCAAAGCCTCCTCAGCATCCACCAGCCGAGACAAAGGTTCCTAATAAGCCCTTGGGGAAGTAGAGGAGAGGAAAGAGGAAGGCAACAGCTCACTCCCCAGCTGCTTAGAGCAGCGCTGCGCTGAGGACAGCCCTAAGCCTGTTGCATCCCCACGGCAGGGATCCCTCATTGCTTCGGAGGGGCCAGCATCCCACCTCAAGCCCCGACTTGTGCTGCTCTTCCGTTCTCCCCATAAACCTGCCATTTAAATAGGCAAACATGACATCTAAAAGTTAAGGCAGACCATTGCTGTCTACTCCCCCTACTCTGGTCACAGGACATTCATTCCTACATACCCAATGCATTGCAGTTTTGCTCCAAATCTTGGGGCAAAAAGGGGCTTCATTCGGTTGACTGGCATGAGCTTACCTCCGCCCTTCAAATGGCAGCGCAGGATCACAGCGAGCAAGGCTGGGGCTCCTCTGACCCAAAGCATATCTGCCCGTCTTTCATGTTAGCAGCAACCACACAGAGCAGATTTCCGTGGTAATACTGTGCTGTCTTCCAGCACGATAACTAACTGTTCCTGCCCCCAGAGGAAAATTCAATCGCTGAGAATATTTTTTCTGTTGACAAAAGGAAAAATAATGGCTTAAAAAAGCTCCCCCTCCTCCTTGGAAAAAAAATAATGTCTGCATAGGAGCCCGTGGATTTGTTCCACGGCCCCCAAAGCACATGTTCACATGTTCCCTCCTTTTTGCCACAATATGTTCAAGCCGCTGGATCCCAGACACTCTGGCTGAGCCAAGCTTTCTGCCTGATCGACTGCTCCAGGCACAGTCTGTGGAGCAAGCCAGCATCCACCAGCTCCGGAGGAGCTCTCCACTCCGCCAGCACAGGGAGGCTGACTCATCTGGAGCTCGCAGGGTTGTACTTCCTCGCTCCTGCTCCCCCTCACAGCCCGCTCTCCTCGGTCAACAGCTGTTTCAGGCTACAAGCACACCTGGGCAAGGGCAAGGAACCAGAGCAACCTGGAAAGGGCCTGGCCCTAGACAGCTTTGCTGGGAAAGCAGCATCTTCCAGGAGATCTTACCAGCACGCTGTTGGCTGCGGGTCCTGGGGCAGAAGCAGACACCTGCACCATGCGAACAGTGTGCCAGGCTGTTGGGAGACACTGACTCACTCCCAGGAGCTGACAAGTATGAGTGTGAGCACGAGCAAGGACCAGCACAGAGATAGACAACAGCACTGGAAGGGAACCGAGTTTCACCCAGGTAAATGATGTGCTGGCTACAAAACTCCCCAGGCCCCCAGCCGCCCGGAGCCTGAGAAGGTGAAGGTTTGAAAGAGGCACCCACCCACCTCAACCCGCACAGCTTGCCAAGCGGAACAGGAGACAGGGACGACTCTGCACTCACAGCTAGAGCTCACCGAGAGAAACCAACCTGGTCCAACGCAAACGATAAATGACAGCAGCAAGAACAATGTGATCATGGGAGCGGAGCCAGCACCTACGTACTAAACACATAGCAAAAAATATGCCTGGAAAAAATCAGAGCACAATGGTCAGTAAAGCCCACGACTGGACGAAGAGCAGCGACCACCCCAGGGCCTTGTGTTCAAACACAAAGGTGTCCAGCTCCTCCCCGGGGACACCAGCCGCTGGCAGCATCTGCCAGCTCTGCTGCCTGCCCTCCTTCTAGCAGCAGATGCATGCAGCCAGCCCCTCTTCTG